AAAAATAAAAAATATCTGCAAAGCGTGTATGATTATGTGATCAACTTTTTCCAACAACAATCATATGAGGCATCGAGTTATTTGTGGATTACTTCACCATCAATGACAAAAATCTCTATAGAGACTTGTTACATGTATATATGTATTCAATTATGACAAAATCTCTATACATGCTTAGTTAGCTTATACCTATATTTTCTCACATCCGGAAAGTAAACTTATGTAATGTTTGGAATTGGCTTCGGCCATTTCACCCATGCATACATTACCAGATTTTATTGATGATAGTCTTTACGTACAATTAATGCAATTCAATTTAATCAACCTCAAGGTTATCCATCTGTCTCAACGCCTTATGCACCGGCCAAGGTCTTAAGTTTGCCGGTCTATGGGGCTAACAAGGTGTTTCATGTGTTTCCAGGTTACATAACATAGTCATATGGATGGTAGTCGTATAATTTAGCCAAAAAGCGTGTTAGAAGGTAAGCTTTAAATTTAGATTTCATAATCAAGGATGCTAATAAAGTAATAATTAATGTGTGCTGGCTGTTTGAAGCGTAATTAAGTATTTTATCGCCTTTCATTTAGTTAGCACTGGGGACTTCTAAATCGTGATATGCTCAGAGTCGTTATATAATCGAAGATGAAGTTTAATTTGAAGGGTTGTGTCGTCACATTTGGCGACCAATCTCAAAAGAGTTTTGTCTTGATCCGGTGCAAGCATGAATCTGCTCCCCAGATCAGCACGTTTCGAGGAAAGCGAATGAATCATCAATTCATCACAGCTGTTTTTGCTCCTTGATCTTATTGGTCAGAGATGCAATACGTACGCAGTTGCTTACAAGGTAGACTTTACCTCCTGTACATTCGTTGCAACACAGGTAGATGTTACGTAAGATCATGCATGCAATTTGTTAAAGTAATCCCGACCATGGTTGTGCTGCTGATTATTCTAATTTTTTCTTTCGTGGTTGTGTTTCTCGTTGACTAATTAATTGCGTAAGTTGTTGACTTTGTGGAACCCTCAGTTTGCTGTGTATATATAAGCAGAGCGGGCTTGTTGGATCCTTCCGCGGGAGTTGAGCCGATCAAGTCTCGAATCTCGGTGTGTTTGTGGGTGTCTCTCGCCGAACCCAACATCCAATAGAAAGAAAATGAGGGTGAAGATGGAGGAAGAAGATGTTGGTGGAAACCCTACTCACAAACCGCTGAACAAGAAGGTGGTGCTGATGTTGCACAAGGCGCTGGCGGCCGGCGACGGGGACGCAGTCTCGAAGCTGGTGACGTCGAACGACGACTTGGAGTGGAGATACCACGGGCCTCCACAGTGCCAGTACATGATGCGGGCGCTCACGAGTCACCACCGGCGGCGCGAGCCAGAGGACCGAAAGTTCAGGTTCAAACCCAGGAGGATCACGGCCTTTCGCGACCGGGTCATTGTCGAGGGTTGGAATGGACTGGATGCCTACTGGGTGCACGTTTGGACCCTCAAGATGGACGGCTCCCGCCCCGTCATTGCCGAGTTCCGTGAGTACTTCAACACATGGCTCACCATGATTGTCCGATCCTATGGTAAAGAGGTTAGGGTGTGGCAGAGCGAGCCCCGGTTGCATCGTAACCGCTCCTTGCCCGACATCATCCTCGCTATTTGATCCGAGTGTTCCATTCCCTCTTGCATTTCACTATCTTTCATGTATTAAATAAAAGTCTTATTGTGAAGATAACGCAAGTGTTGGTACCTCCGTAAAGGATCCACTATTTATAGTAAAATTACATATTTACAATCAATTAGGGGTGAGCAACTTGGACCGCCCAAACCGGGACCGGACCGGACCGGACCGGACCGACGAGTTTGGTCCGGTTCTCGGGATTATCGGTCCGGTTCCCGGTTCCTAAAAGCGGAACCGGTTTCCGGGCGGTCCGGTTCCCGGTTCCAAGGGGGACCGGACCGGACCGACCGGACCGGACCGACTATTTAATATATATATTTGTTATTTTTTTCTTTAAAAAAATTAATAAAATGTGAACTAAACTCTAAGTGAACTTCATTATAATAAATTCATTGATAAAAAATAGTAAAATGTGAATTAAACCCTAAGTGAACTTCATTGACATAAATTTATTGACAAAAATTAGTAAAATGTGAACCAAACCTTAAGTGTTTGACAAAAAAAAAACCCTAAACTCTAAGTAACCGGTTCCATTTGACCGGACCGGAACCGGATCGGACCGACGGTCCGGTCCGGTTCCCGATCCTAGAACTAACCGGTCCGGTCCGCGGTTCCCAAAATTGGGAACCGGTTCTCTCAGTCCGGTTCCCGGTTCTACCTTGGAACCGGACCGGACCGGGAACCGCTCACCCCTACAATCAATCACTTATATGCATTTTGGACTACTGACCGACAATTTAGCCTAACTGGGTCAGGTTGCCGGATCAATCCTGATTCGAGCCATTCTCATAAGAGAAATGATTAACCGACAATCATTAATTTATTGTGAAAATAACAATATATTCTAGACTACAAAAAAATAATTATAAATTATTGTGGAGCCCATTCTTTTAAGAATTTGTGGCGCATAACATGCTGTTACTCTCACAGTAGTCCACAAACCATTATCCTTCTCAAAACAATCTTTTCTCTCGTATATGACATAATCGTCAGCTTTGATCCAAGCTCCAAAACAACAAATTTGGCAAGAAATTGATCAACAAAACCTGAACAAAAGTCTCATGTATCCTTGGATAAGGCAGAGATTGTATAGGGAAAGATGTTCTTGAAGAGAGCAATTTGGGAGAATACAAGGATACCGCTCTATTGGAACCCGGTTATTATTGATTTCATGACACATGGCGAAAACATGAACAAAAGATCCTATAAATATCTTTTATTTTATAGGTTATACGGATCAGTTTCGAGTTACATAATTTGGAGGCTAACGAAAATTGCTCACTGATCGTGTCCGGCAAGCAGACACATTTTGATGATAGAATGAAATCTACGACTTTCAACCAAATTTTTCTCACGAGTCTGACTATGTGACTAGCTGTGGAAGGCAATGTGATCATAAATTATCTATCTGCATGAGCAAAAACATATAGGAACTAATCAAATACATGTTTCAGAACTGTATACAACGCGAGTTTGCCATCCACTCCAGTCAAATTCTTGTTGGCACTTTAATACATGCTCTCACATGAAATACTTTTCTGAATTATTCTTTAACTTTTTCATGCATATATATACTTGTATGACATGTAATCAGTCATGTGTAATGATGTGGTCGTAGTTCCAAGTAAAATTTGGTTGGAGTCAACGCCAGGGGACACATCACAACCGATTTCCAAAATTCAAGGGGCAAATTGCAAAATTTGCAACATCGGCGAGGCAATTTACAACAACCCTATAAATTTGAGGGCAATAGGTAAGTTTCCCAATAGTGTGTGCCAATTCATGAAGGCATAGGTGGTCGCAACTTCGAAGGGATTGTATTATTCAATCACACGTTGGGATAACTAATTTGTATAGGGATTTCAATAATTGAAGCTATTGAAAAAGTAAAAGAGGATGAAAGAGAATGGGAAAAAAAGGGTATACTAAACTGTTTGACTAGAGGAATTATCGCAGCTGCTAATCTCCAATACCTGAAATTTGTCGAGAACTAAGGCTCCAAAAGCCTTTTTGCGTTAGATTTATTTGATCTTCTCATAATCTTCCTCAGACATAGTTTCATTGCTTGGGTAGCAAAAATGTTAGGGAAAACTACTTGAGTCTCACGACATTTTAAAAACATTCACTTGAGTGCAAGAAATCCGACGCCATAACACTTGTGGTGAACGGTATAAAATGCTATGATACTTAAGTTTTCGATTGAAAAGTTATATAGCAATCAAGTAATCGGAAAAAAAGTTATGTCACTCAAGTGAATTCTGTACATAAATTATGACACTCAAGTAATCGAATAAAAAATTATGACACTCAAGTGAGTGCATCTACAAAAGTTATGGCACTTGTGGTGTCTTTTTTTCATAAATTTGGGAAATGTTATCCCAAACCAATTTGCAATCTTAAATCATAGCCCATTTTAAAACTATTAAGATTCAAGACGGGTCACATAACGGGGTCCAACCCCAAGGGACCCAAGCACAGGCATCGACACCTAAGTCATAGGCTCAACCCCTAATGAACCCATGCCCGGCATCAATGGATCGAACTGTGAGCTCTAGGGACTCGGGCCCAGCGTCGGGAAAAGTGCTGAATAAGTCCTAAACCTTTTGGGATAGTGCCAATTTAGTCATAAACCTATTTTTTATACCAATTGAATCCTAAACCTTTTGATATAGTGTCAATTCGAGTTCTTTTGGCCGGTTTGCTAACGCGTGGACGTCGGTCGGCCGGCGACCGGCCACCGATCCGACGTGGACAAAATTTAATAATATTTTTTTGAATTCTTTTCTTTTTTTTTCCTTCTCCCTCTTCCTTCAGCCGCTCGCCGGGCGGTGACCGGCCCGGAGAGCAAAGGCCTAGATGGACCCCGCCGGCCTCGAGCGTGCCACGTGTCCAGAGGCTGGACCTCGCGTCCGAAGGTCGAGCCTTGCCAGCCCATGGCGAGGCTCGCAGTCGCCGTCGCAGGGCGAGCCTAGGGTCGCTAGATTGCCGCGAGGCTCACCCGGCCCTCGCCATAGCCAGGCGAGGATCGACCTCGCCAGATCCGGCGAGGTCGGGCCTCGCCTAGCCGCCGGCGAGGCTCAACTAAGGGCCCGAGAATGAGCATTAGGGTTCTCGTGCCCAAACGCAGAGTTTCTGATCCAAGCGCTAATATCTAGTCATATTTTGAAAAATGATTTTCAATTTTTAAATAGAAAATCATTTTCCTGAATTTAGGCATAAATTTTCAATTGACTAGGAAAACCTATTCCGTTGACTCGTTTTCCTAAACAATCCAAATGCCGGAAAATGTGGAAAATGTTTTCCGCTAAACAAACAAAGTCAAACTATCCATTTGACGAGAACAAACTACAATCTTATTACACAGGTAAAAAGAACAATATCACGTACCACTACATATAACGGGTATCACTTGAATCACTGTTTGTAGCAGAAAGTGTGGAGTGCTCTATGATGTGCTTATAATCTCATAAAGCTAAAAAATCATGCTTCCCCTGTATGACCACATAGTTTCTTGCTATGAGCATATCGGATATGTACAATTCGAATGTCAAAAAATGCATCTCATACTTAACGTTCGTAGTCGGGTCATGATAAGAAGCTGAGGACTGACCTAGCAGGTACAAAACTTGAGATGGGAGGCACTCTTCTCATTCACAAAAGGCATTCACGAAATCATCTTAAGATACAATTTTGCTGCCTTTCTGATCTAAGCTTCCATTGCTGTCGCCATGCTAAACTGCGCTTTTCTAGAGAAACAAAAGAAAGTAAAATTAGCAATGGCTCTGTGTATGGGCACACACATTTGAGAGAGGGAGAAAGTACCTACAACTTTGCATGTTAAACATCGCACGACTCTACCTAGGAAGATATCCAACCCGCTGCGAAGAGAGAATTTCGATGCTTGCACATCCTATGAATTCCCAACTCGATCACCTCCAGTGGGTATGCACCACACAGTGGCAGACCATCATCACCAATCCACATGGTGGCACCAACAAATAAATGCCAAATCCATATTGCATTTCTAATCTCCTCATAGGAAAGTAGATTGGCATAGAGGGCAATTTGACTTTTGTGAAGTATTGAACCACTTGAAAATGCATTTACTGTGGAATTTATGTTTGCAGACTTTGCAAGCCTTGCTTGGAAGGCTATGGTTCTCTGTGTGGATAATGCTGTAGCAGATAGGGCATTCTTCAATACCTTCAAATTTCTTGTCGATATTCCGTTTCCATATACGAATAGCTTCAGCTAAAGCTCCATTCTGCACGATATGACGACATGATATGAAGTTTCAAAATATGCTTCCGTCAGCTTATAAACATTAGCCACTCATTTCTCCTAAATTACGAGAATTTGGAGCAGATGGTATAAGAACTTTTGATTACTAATATTACTACTGCTGGATCATCACACCCTAAGGTGCACACCCACACAAATTATCTGTACATAAAAAAGGCTTGGAGGGAGCTCATTTTGAACTCCTAAAGTATAGCAGCCCGAACTTGTCAATCACATATAAGTATCCGGCTTAAGATTCCCGAACCTCAGCTTCCAAAAGGCAATAAAAAATAAACAATGAACTAAAAACTATAAAGCATTTACCTGATTGCGCACAAATGACATCATGGACAATAACCACTTCCTCTGCTTGTCTTCGCTAATACCCTTACTCCTTGGACAGTCGACATCAACTTGCTGTAATGGGTATGATGCAGGAAGACGAATGACTAGGTCAAATCCAGTCTCTTCCTTTGTATAGGTGGCAACAACCTCATTTGCGGCTTTGCTTACCCGAATTGAAAAGTTTTCATCTATAAAGCTGGCTTTCTTGATCTGCAACAAGTATTGATGCATCAGACAATTTATAAAGGAAGAAGTCATATCATCAAACTAATCATACATTAAGGAAAGTTTGCCGTAATCAAACTCTCTTGAACATACTACTACAAGGCCACTTAAGTGTAACATTTTCATCCAAAACCTAACAAATTTCATATGTTTAAGTCCCTTCAACAGAAATTACCTGACATAATCTTAATTAAATTACACACACCTGGGATAACTCATTTGAGATTAAGGGAGGGCTGCACCATGTTTTTGTGAAATATTCTATTGTTGACCGGTCACGCAGATATCCAAACCACTCTCGCACGTAGGCAGGAAGAAGACGAAGCATCATTCCAAAAATTGCTCCAGCAAGTGATGCCATTGTCAGTGGCTCAATAGGCCAAAGAGATTCCACTGAAGACAACAAACGACCTCTGGTGATGGCCTCTTTTGCAGCCTCATATACCACCGCAGGAAACTCCGTGTCTTTCTTTTTCTGATTCGATGGCACTGCCACATCCAAAATATGCTGAAATAGGCAGTCAATAATAACTGGATCAACAGAATTATGTATATACTGAACCAATCGCTCTCTTGCAGGTGAAGATGGTAAAGACCATATATGTGATAGCAACAAGGACCAAGCAAGAAGTATGTGCACCTGCAAAAGAAACATCGAATGAAATGGTATTTCATGACCACATCAGTCTGTTTAAACATGGAAGAGCCTACACTATGCAGGTGGCTGACTCTAACACTATATGATAGCAATATGAATGAAATGAGATGCTCATTGACCAAACATTAATACCCGTTCTTCTGCCAGCAAATCCATCTCAAACATCTGATGGGATTTCTCAATCATGGAAGATATTTCCTCCTTCATATGGACATTTTGCTCTTCAATGCTGCTGGAATCCTGCTCGCCATCCAAGGTATGCATAGTTTCTTCTCCGATAGCCAAGTGAGAAACAGTTTCACTGGAAAGCATTCTGTAAGCAGCAAACTGCAACGATGGTGCTGGCTTGGGAGAGAATAGAATGGCATAAAGTGAACTTATAGATCCTTTGCTCAGACCCCAAAAATCTACTGACCTCACTGCTCTTTCTCTAGCAAGGGGAGAGGATTCATTAACTCCACGCGCCACCGACTCCCAAAAGTAAAGATTATCAAGCAGTGAAGATGCTACAACAGAAGCAGCCTTATGAGAGTGTAAACTTGCAATGGCCTCAGCAAGACCAGCACATAAAAAGATCCTAAGTATACCCCCGGTTATTCTATCTTTCATGGACTCCCATTTCTCAGTTCTTGAAGGATCTTGATCATCTGCAACTTTTGCTAGTTGGAAATTGGAGAAAGAAGAATATACTAAAAGTGCAGATTTGGCTGTCTCTATCCGACTACGGTCCCTAATTAAAACAATTTGCTCTAGCTTCTTAATGATGCTAAGATCTAACTTATCAGAACAAGAGTCATCAGATATCAAATCGTTTACATTCTCTACAACGTCCTCCATCATTACAACAACTGATTGAATCCAAAACCTCGTCATGGACAATACGAAGTCCCAATCTTCTTCATTGAAGTCATTGGCACAATAACCAACTGAAAAGACTATTAGCTTTGACAGCAACATCTGCAGATGATTCGAAGCATTTGACAAGTCAATACTGACTCTCTGCTTTCGAAAGAAATCAAGCAAGAGCGTTTTCTCCCTGAGGCTGATCCTCCTCTCTGATTTTGGCACATTTGATCTGTCTGATGCACCTATCGGATAACAAGATACAACCAAGTGGAACCACTCCTCCATGTCTGCATCAATAACCAAAAGAAAGATGCTCACTCAATAGTACAATCAGTAACACTCACACCTTAAGGGTCGTTCGGTGTACCCCAGAAGAAAATGAACATAATTGCTCAATGACAGCATAACTCTAAATTCATATTTTATAGCATGTCATTTTATAAAATTCGTTGAATAACTAGAAAATTAACTAATTTCCATACAAAATTAGACAGGACCATATGTTTGATTCAGATAGAAGAAGTGACATTCAGCACGTAGAGAAGAAGATCATTAGATATCACTACATAGGCTTCATGTATACCACAAAAGGCAATTTGTCGCAAATTCAGAAAAATAATCCCTTACCATTGTCCCTTTGCCATGTGACCAGAGGTGGGAATGACAATAGTCTCTGTAACCAGCCCATAATTGTTTCCTGCACCTCATCATCCTCTAAAGCTAGTGACTCTAAATCAGTGAGATTTTTATGGCTCCGACATAATGGTTGGATAAGAATTCTTATTATCAAAGGAAGAATCCGAAGACAGTTTATGCTGACAGTATCACCAATTAGAAGCTTATTGATAAGCACTTGAAATAAGGTCCTTGCTTTGTCATACTTCCATACATCATCATTGAAAAGGGTCACGACCAAAGACAAAAGAGCCCTCACAAAGGGCTCTTTAATGTTTTTCACTTCATCAGCAGTAGTGCCATAAAAATTGGGAAAGCTCTGTGCGCTACTTCGTCCTTGAACCAGAGCAGCATCTAGTAAAATGTCAAAAATGGAATCTAGTAAACCTTCCCTAGGAGGCTGTGCTTCACTTTGAGCATACGCACTCAACAGTGGTAAGAATGTAGTGATGGAACTGCCCCCAGGCCATTCCCAGGTGCATAACATTTCAGCAGCAAGCCACGCTCGATGGGTAATCTCTTCCACTGTTTCTTCAGACAGTGAGGAAACATGTGAAGTGTTGCGACAAAAAACTCTATCAACACCTTTTTTTGAGATAAGCTTGTCAACCAGAGAAGCAAACTTGTAACCTCCAGAAATCTGCATAGTATACCACACATATTCATTCTACTTCAATTTCAGTTAACCAAAAGCTGAATGAAACTTTCCTTTCCCCATTAGAGAAGTAGGAAATCCAGATTCACAAGTTAGATGATAAATAGACTTTAAATAAAACAATGGTCAAACAGACAGCTAAGGAGGTAGTAGTAAAGTTGGCTATGATGGAGGGAGGATGTCCGAACCAAAGCGGTTCAAGAGCAGCGAGGAGTACAAAAATCATATAACAATTAGCTCTAGGGATAAGGACATAAATATCTTACTTACATTGCTACCAGTCAAAACATTTTCACCACATTGAGAGTCGAAGTCAACTGAGATCCACACAGGCCACTGATCACTCTTCTTGAGGAGCTGCTCAAGCAGAATTTGCTCCTCATATTGACCCAGACAGAAAAATTCAACAACTTCAAGTATCCACTCACAGCACAATGATGTGACCTTACTGGCGTCAAGATCATGTTCTTTTAAGATGGCAAACCTGATAGATTGAACCAAGACTGTACTTGATTTCTCCCGACAGTGAATGCCAAGATCTTGACAAAAATGACTATTTATTTTGCAAAGAAAAGAATGCAAAGATTTGCCAATTTCAAATCTGGTCTTCAAATTCAGTGATTTATCATCAGGCACATCATACAATGAGTCCCCCATGTGGCTTTCCCAGTGAAGAATAAAAATTGCTGCTAAAATATTTGAAACTAGTTCATCCTCATTGAGTGTCATTAAGCAATAAAAGCTTCCCAGAAGAACCTCAAGAGCAGATTTGGCCATGTCAATCTTGTCGCTATGGCTTTCCCCATCTATCATGAGATCTCCTATTCCGGAAGCCAATGTTGAGCCTGCATCTCTCACCCATTTGAAAGAGGACCCAAGGATAAAATAAACCAACTTCTCTAGAAGCGCTTTGAACACCAGGACACACGAATCCCTTGATAGAAGAGAGATCTGATCATCCTTTGAGGAGCCACCAAGAGCAGAGCTGCAAACAGCAAAGTAAATCACAAGGAGACAAAGGAACGTTCAAGACCCTCAGCAACACAGAGCTAACTGTACGGTAGAAGAAAAGCCTAATTTTCTTCTGCATTCGTGAAAACTAGGGTTCCTCATAAAAATGTATTGTAAACTTGGGTTTTTGAGGAAATACAGAACCTAGTTCCATTAAACCGAGATTCAGGGATCGTACAACAACCACACGGGATACAGGATCCTCTGAAATAAACAAGCACATCCCCAAAAAATGATAACATAAGATAGTTCAATGGTAAGTAATTACAACTTAGTTGGACCATGAAGTAACATGCATGCACACTGAGGCCAACCATGCAAAATGCATCACTTCACAATGTCTTTAGCACACAAATAGAAGCTTCGGCAGTAGAAATTGGCCCAGGTTTCTGCTGCAGCCAAGACTTGGGTAAAAAAAGACCATAAACCTACACATGTAGCAATGCATAACCACCCAACAAAAATTCCAAATCAGAAGATAATGGACTATCAGGTTAAGATGAAGAAGGGGAAAAAAATCGTTTAGAAAGAAGATGACTAAACTCATCATGCCACAAGAAGAAGATCACTGATTATTCTTTTTTCTTATTTGGCCAGCAGGTCATTTACTATGCCATAACATGGGAAAACATATCAAAGAACCAGATAATACAAACAATTGATAGAATGTTCCAGCATCCTGCTCATAAACATACCACAAAAAATCGGCTTCTTGAATCCTATTGGGAGGACAGGAACAAGCCACAGCAACAGCCAATGAATCTAAAAGGTCATGACGCCAACGTTCTACATAGGAATTTACATGCAGTTCGGATTCTGCTAACTGCCGCTTAGTTATTTTGTCTCTTGCTTTCTGCAGGAGTGGGCATAGCATAGCTGCATGTTCAGGGTCATCACTTCGAAGTTTAATTGTGTGAGACAAAACAAGGCTCCATTGCTCAGATAAGCATTCATCGTCAAACAATGCAAGCAACAAATCCAGACGGGCAGCACTACAGCTGCCACTTCCTCTCAAGCACCAAGGAACAAATCGTTTCTCAAATATATGCATGAAATGCTCCGACTCCAATTTCCTGCTCTGCTCTTCAAATGGACTAAGAGAAGAACTCCCTTTATCTGGGACTAGAAGTACCTTAACCATCTTGTTTGGTCCAAAAATTGAAATTGCAGCTGACAGGAATCTAATTCCATCTGGTGAGTCCTGGTTCAAGAAAAGTAAACAGTTGAAACACAACATTGGAACTATGGCTAAAAAAAGCACCACAAACTGACCAATATTATGTACTGTGTTCTAAAACAGGAGAAAAATTACCACAAATCATTTAACTTTCTCCTTTTAAGGAGAAAATGTATATATCATTGACATTTGACATTATTCAAACAATGAGTACAGATTTAACAGGGCTGTCATAAAGTTCAAGGAAATCATTGGTTTCATGACAAACACCAGGTGTCAGAAACAGTTCGACAACCTAGTGCCTCCAACTTACTACAGTGAAAAGGCATTTAAATATGACAAACCTGCTCGTGAAGGAAACAGGAAACAGAAAAAAAATTTGTTGAAGTGATATTCAGAGAGAAATCAAAGCACGTGTCTTCAATAGGTGAAGGTAAATCACTACACCAAGAAAGCAAAGATGTCTAGAAATTTTAGCCCACTTAATGAAACAAGAACTGTTCAAAAGGACACAAAAAATTGAATCTTAATGTCAGATTCCTTTATAGCGAGAGTCATTGTTTCTATATCAATTTCCCAAGCATACTAAGGAGGATACAGATTTCCAAGACTACAATACAAAGCACTGGAGAAGTCCCTAAAGTGAAAGATATCAAGTTAAAGAATATGGATTCTCAAAGACATATGAAGCATCATGTATGATGAGCAAGTACATTACTGGCACAGAAGAAAAGGAAGACACAAGTAAGCAACCATATTAGTTAACTTACAAGTGATTCTATCGATGAAAAAGACCCAGCTAACGTTGGTCCCACTATGTAATCCAGGGGCCAGTATTCACTTTTTCTTACAGCATGGTGCTCCATTAGCAACAGAAACTGAATCAATCGCTCTACACTTTCCACGCGTCCTCCATTCTCAGAATGCTGACATATGCCCCTAAAGCTCTCACGAAACGCCACAGAGAAACCAGAAAGCAGATCATGTTCTATCTGAAAGATGCCTGAAAGAATTTCTACAATGCATTTTCCTAAGTCCTGGAGATAGGACAAAGGATATCTAAGAGATGGTTTTTCCATAATATTTTTTCGAACATCAGGACTCCGGTCTTCAGGTGATTCAGTAGATATCCCTGTGAGGATTCCACTCTGAACCTTTGGACTGAAAACAAGCACAAAGTCTTCCCACAAAAGTTTTACAAGAATATTCTCAACAAGAGTACTTTGACGGCAATGAACAGAGCTCACTTCGTCACAATACCTGGCATCGTTGAGAAAACAAACTGTTACAATTACATGAAAAGAACTTACATATAGTATGCTGTCAGACATAATTTCTAATCTCCTACCAGAAAGATAATCAGCATACAAAACATGCAAGACAAAAACTAAAACACCCCACCTGGATGCAATCTGCAATGCCCAAAGGAAGCATTCCTTAAATGCACGAAAGAATGCAGTTCGATCTTCGATAGAGGAAACAGAAGGTTTTCTTCCGGCCCAAAGGTTGTGGAACAAGTCAAGGAAAAATTGTTCCCCCCGAACTACATTATGAGGCATAGTCTCTAGGAACACTAATAAAGCAGGATAAGAGATCTGCTGAGATCCAAAGCATCCACTCCGGAGGAAATGCCAAAGCCGATTTAGTACGATTTTCTGAGCGTTCAAAAAATTCCAACAATCTGGGAAACTTTTTGAAAAGATCAACACCACGTCCCACATCAGTGCATGACATGAAGGATCTTTTTCCTGAAAGGCACCTAATATTGGGGCCGCTAGAGTTTTCAAATTTCCTTCATTAAAAACATGAGGGACATTTTTCATGAAACTCCTCAATACTGCATACGTAGCAGATCGAATGGCAGCACTATCAGACTTCAGGAAGTCTAGAAAACATTTGTGATAGGAAAACAACTTCTCTGCATAAACCATGGCAGTAGACCTGGCTTTTGGACCATGCTTTGGTTCAGTGGTTATATTCTCAAAACCAAGTCTTTCAGATTGCAATGAAATGAAAACATCAAGAAGTGTCGCCAGTGCCAGCAAGGATGAGGTAATCACCTGCAACAAAGGATTAAGAGAAGATCAAGATCACTATTGTAGAGATAAGGACATCAACACATTACTATCACAAGCCAAAGATCTTGCTTCAGCAGAACTCCACAAGGGAAAAAACTCAAAGACAGTATAGCCAGCAGCAAATGTAGCAACATTAATTAACATGATTGCAAAGAGAGGGACACAGGACAAACAACAATGATAAAATATCTAGTTTAAGTAGAAAGCCTCAAGGAGAAAATCATCAATGAATATTACAATTAGCAATTGGAGAACGGCAGTACAAAACACGTCTTTTACTTTCCCTGGGTAGCTCCAGGATTTTAGGTTCTTCATTCAAAAGGAGGCAAAAAATTTCTTGGTAATTGAAAGTTATGGAATTGCTTTATCTCAGGAACCAAGACTGTTAAGCCTTAATTGATAGTTCCAGAGAATTCATATTGTTCATGAGATGAGCACTTACTGAATGGAAAAGCATTAGCAAAGTTGCATGGAATTCATCATTCATCTGTGGGGACAATGAAAATCAGAAATCAAGTGTAAAAGGTCATTAATTTGGTACCTGTTGATGCATCTGTTCTATTTCATCCAAAGCAGCTGCCTTATCAAACAAGCCTTGTGCTGTGAGCTTTAGATTTTCTTCCAGATATATACACATCTCAGTTGCACATAGAGCTAAAGCATCTAATCTCTTTTCCTTGGAAGGAAAGGCTGCCTGTTATTCAAAGAAAGCAAACGCTTAACATCAAACTATTACAGCGGACACAAGAATGCTAGCTAGATTTTCCAACACTTGGTCAAATATTTTTGCGTCAAAAGATCTGCAACCAAAAGTTTATATCTTCATAGCAAATCACAAAATTAGAAACAAAAATAAATTCCTTCCAAACATCTGTAGCATCATAGAACACCCCACAATGTACATTGAAATTTGTCCTCAGTGGGTTTATTCAAGTCCTTGCAGGCTTGCACATGAAAGTCATCCCAGAAGATGGATCAATGGAGGAACTCCCCCAAAATAGGCAATCTCGACTTTATCAACACCAGTGATGAAACCTTGATGAACCATTTTCACCAAGTGTAATGACCCGCCAATGTTTGCAACAGAGGTTCATGTTTCATATTATGTAAACATCAAATGGAAATTGACGAGACTTAAGTCCACGCTGGGATGAAACCAATTGAAACCCATGAAACAACAATGCACACCGTACTAAAACTCCTGCCTGAGGAGGTTTCTGTTGTTACCTATACGCTCATGCTATGAGTGTTTTTCAAATTAAAATATCAACATTGAAAAGATTTATTGCATTAGCTTTAAGTATTCGGGTGGAATTCTATCAATACACTACATCAGACGAAATCATCTAGTAAAGGCTGGATGCACAGAAGCCGCATTGACCCACTAAAAGTTCACATTATTTTCTTTATGTCTTCAATTAGAACACTTGTTCCGTATAGAGTGATTAGGTAATATTCATCATCCTCCAGAACGTTAGCTGGCTTTATGAACTTCTTCCACTTGCATAGTTTAAAATCCTCTACATCAGAAAAGATTAGAATTTGCAAGTACATGCTAGAGTTTAAAGATTTTACAAGAGTCTAAAATATGCTCGATTTTCTTATTGTCATGATTAGAATGCTGCGATGATGTCATCAATTCCATTTTGAAATTTAATTTTCTAATAATGCTTTCAAGGTAATGCGACAAACTCACCATGTGATGTTTATAATTTAATCTATGTGTCCTGGACCAAGAAAAATACAATGACAAAATTGTTGGTTAAAGATTGCGCAGAACCAATTCCACGCAGGATAGTAAGGCTTAGTTGTTTACCATCATTGTTCATCACCAGCTATCATGGACGACGCCTTTGAAGAAGCCTGCTTCGAACTTCAACCATTCAACTGACATGTCCTGATTTATTACCAGCTGATTTAAGATATCCTTGCCTGGTTTATATCCAAGAACCATTGGTGTACAGCATCCCATTGGGTACTGTTGATTATAGATCTCTAAAATTGGCTAACAAATCAACCCCACCGCATACTCGATCAAAAGACACTGACTTACTATAGAATATAAAAAATAATATTGTACATTCTTTCGCCTAATTTAAGTTTTCAATTCGTAAAAAGTAAGTTGGGCTACTAGTGGTTTATTTGATAAATAATTGTCAATGTAGCACCTTACCAGTAATTTCAAAGCAAAATAACTAATAACTGTTCCTTTACAAAATTACCCAGTTAAGGACCCAGATGAATGCTTCAATATTTAATGGGAGTCTGGGACTGAAATCAAAAACCCACTAAAGCTTATCTCTTACAAAATGCTTTCTTGACAAGCGGCATATCCTGTCCTTATCCCTGTTCGATGACACATGGAGTACCCACTCTAGGTAAACATCGTGTGGGGTGCAAAACCCCAGACCCATACAAAGTTTTGTAAATGTAACCATTGAGGCATCCATGTTGGGTAGGAAATACAAAGACCTCCATCCAACACAATTCAAAAGGTATCTAACCAATATAAGAAACCAATGCACCTGAAATGACCGCTTAGAAGATTGGGAAACCTCAAAAACTGGATCGAATTGAGAGAACCACCAAGGTCCCATCAGAGACTTCAAGTGCGGAGCCAAATCTCGCCTGAAGATATGAACAAATTATTAAGAATGCTTTCAACAATTTCCCACAAAAGCAAGGCAAGCACATGTAGGAAATTTTGCCAAATCAATCTTGAAGAATGACCAGTCAAGAACTAGAGCACAAATCCACAAAAGATAATTATAAAAGATTATAATTCTATTGGAAAAGAATAGAGTAATAGTTAGGTTGAGTGATGGATTCTTCCCTTTAATCCTCCATATATCAAGGAAGACCTACAGCAACTCCAAAAAAACACACATCTCATGAAAGCTTCTCTAAGATGGTTGCGGGACCAAATAAAATAGCATCACCAAGATCCATAAAAAGCTAGTTTAATCAAACAAACCCCCTCTAGTTCCAACATTTATACCAATCTCCCAAATAAAGACAAGAAGATATTTTCTTTTCTTGAATTATCAATGGTTTATTAGACACCAGAAGGATATAAGATAAATAATTAACTTAATAAAAGGTTGACAAAAGATTTAAAAGCAATCAGAACTTCCACATGTTATTTGTAGTCTAGAAAAGTAAATACAAATAACAAGCATTCACTGAGCATTTCTCCAAATCATTCTGAAGTAGTACACATGGAGTTTTTAAGTCAATATGATGTCACTTGAGCTAGGGGGACAATCTATAGGTCTACAATAAGGAGGATTTTACTCCATGCACTTAATATTCCTCATTTGAATGATAACATGCACGTTCGATGAGCACATCAAGTAGGAGAATGTTTGCTGATTGTCTGTCACAAAAGTACAGATAGGAGTAAATAAAGTATATCTAAGAGAATAGAAGCTCTTTCCTGATCATCGTCCAAGGTGATTTTAGCATAACAAATGGTGATCTCAAGATGCTACATAACAATCTACAACTTATGAAAGTGGCTCAGGTGCAGATAGCTACCAATACAGTGGAGAAAAACACTCTTATTTGAATTTTAGGGTGTTGCAACTCTGCACGTGATTACAACAAAGAAAAATGATATCTGCCTACAATGGTTAACAGAAAACATTCTTGACGAACAAATGACAGAAAGAGATGTGTTATTTCCCTTTTTTGGCAGGCTGATATTCTGCAAGCAGATCATAGCCATTGCAAAGCTTTAGATGTAATGAGTACGGGTGTCTACAGTTCAGTCCCATTTGGTTTCGCACTAAAACTGCATCAGAAATTAAAATTTTGGATAGGAATTATTTCTTCAAATCAGTATTGAAAGATTGGATAGAGTCCCCTGCTCTCGGCTTCTAAGCTCAAATGCGCATGATTCAAAGAGTCACTAGAGGCGAAACTTAGTAAGAATATCCGACTGAATTATGAAGATCTGAACAGAACTAATTAAACTGGAATGGTATTCAATGGCTAAACCTAAACTTGTCTACCTTATCCTCATTGAGTTCTTCCCACCACTTGAGGTTAGAAATTTTTCAACTTTCATGAAACAAACTCACAGTTATGTGAAGAAGCATCTGAAGATAATTCCAGCAGAGCTTGGACCTGGACAATTAGAAGTTGAACGAGGATTTCTAAATGTTAATGTGTTCCTGATGATACTTAAAACTCAACCAAGCTCGCCAATTTTATTTTTCTGTCGAGCGATCAGGTTAGGGTCCATGTAAGTTTGGGGGAAAATGCATTTAATCGTGAGAGAAGAATTCGAATGAAGTTGAGAGATACAGAAGTTGTGATGATTTCTTCAGCAGTGAACTCATAAAGGAGAGTTCATTTTGCTTTGGAAAGACGTAAACGAGGGTGATAAGGAAAAGGTGTTCGGTGTCATCTTCACTCGGACTCAAAATGGTAACGGAAATAACTATAAAATACTACTATTAGCTGTTTGTTCAGTTCAAATTAGGTTTCGGGGTTTTATACTTTTTGACCAGACAACCAGACTGTCCCGAAAGAAAAAGAATATCAAGTAGGCCCAAAAATCAAATAGTACTACACAATGACTGAAAATTTCCTGTTCCATCAGGGTTTCAGTTCACTGGATTTTTTGCACACCTCTCATAATAAGCAACTAAAAGGCACTTGCTGATTCACTCTCAACAGCTTAATAAAGATAAAGCCACACATCCATATAGAATATAGAAACCAAACAGATAACACCAAAAATAACATGCAAGATTATATGCCAAAAGTTGTCTCCTAAAGATATAAAAGGAATAGCAAGCAAATCGCTCTAGAAATCAGAATGGCAAACTGCTTCAGCAAGCAGAAAAGCCCAATTAGTCAGCATAAAAGGTGAGCAAACTTACCCGATAGAGACAACAAGAACAGACATTGTTTCATGCGTGGCTCGGCGAACTTCTCTATTGTAATCCAGCAACAGCCTCTTGTACTCAAATGCCTACAAAAGCGACAGAACCCTAATAATGAACTATGACGTCGGTCAGAAGACTTCAACATGGAAAATAACAAATAATCATTAACTTAACACTTAATGACCTAAAGAAGAAAATATCCTTATCCTTAAACATCATAATTACCAACACCACCACCACCTAGCTGAAACATTTGCTTGAACTTCAGTCTTCTCACTCCACTCTCCTCAAGCAAAGAAAGGAGAAAACAAAAAGAACCATAGACAAAAAGGTAACACAAGTTGTCCTCTAAAGCTGCATAACATCCTTCTAAATTAGTTTTCCCGCCTAAAAAGCAAGGAAGTGTTTGACAACCACATTAAGTGCAGAAAATTAAACTTTTCCGCAACTGATATTCACCAAATACACACAACTTAATTGATTTTTAAGTCAAAAATCACTTAATGAGGTAAGGAAGGGCTTACTTAGCCAAGCTAAGTACTAAAATATTCGATGGAAAATAAAATCTTGCATATTATATTGTCAAAAACCTTTCAATAATGCTCACTATTCCATGTTTGGTATAAAACTAATAAAATTTATTATGTAATCTTCATCTATCATTAAAACTAACTTTTTATTTTCATCAATTAGAGACTTCGCACTTAATATTCAATACCTAATCTTCAGCACTTATTTTTCGGTTTTATCAAGTGAGCCCAAAGTTTAGGCAAAGCCTGATCATCATGTTTGCAAAAAGCTCCAGTACTAACAATTACCCATGCTGTCAGCTTTTATTGCCAACAAGGAGATATGAGCAATAAGCAATTTAAGTTACAACTGAAGAAATGGACACGCAAGAAGTTTGTGGAAATTGAATCTTCGAATACCTAGCAAAAAGACCATTTAGTATCTTTAATGCAAACAGTCCAGCAGAGATGGATGAAACAAGAAGAGGTATGTGTCATGGTGCGCCTTTATCTTTTAAAGATGCCGGTGACTCCATTTTCCCTTGAGCCACATCAATAAATATCAAATTCTATGCATATAGATAGAAGGAAAGGATCTGAATACATGCAATATTTCTGCCTTTTAACATCACTCCTACTACTATTCTTCTCATAAGTTTTTTTTTTTTGGGGTCGAATTCTCATAAGTTAGAATACAGCATTCCAATGCCAAGGATAAATAGTTCCATAATGCCATTAACCTCCATTGACATGCAACTTTCACTCCTTTCTATTCCTTTCCAACTCTAAGAAACTCTAAAAACCATGACCACTGGCTTAATTTTATGTCCTAGCATTCACAAGCGCCTTTGATCAAAAGAGAAACAGAAAATGCAGACAACGTCGAAAAGGATGTGTTATAAGGACACATAAATGGACCTTACCCATTGTGGCATTACTGGTATTATATCCTCCTTCGACCTCCCCTTCAGCAGGACAGATAAAGATCCCAGTGCTTTAAGCTGTTGAAGAAAATACAAAGAGTAAGAGATACTATAGCGGTTTACCTTCTCTAAGAACTGGTATAGGGCTGTCAATCACCAATCAAAATCATAGCAAGCACCAAAAGTGTACATGATCTAAATCATTGCTATCCATTGATCATAAATAGAATTGCATAGTGATCACCGAGCATGGAGCACCATTTATGACCAAATTATAAACAGTGCCACACTGCCACTGCACTTCAGCTTCCTATGTATGAAAACTCAAATCTCTAACCCTACAACATCATGGAGAAGATAGAGCTACTGAATCCTCGTCATTCAGAATCTAAGATTAACTGAAAATCCCAAAACAAATAAACAATGCGCAATGGATGAACAGAAGAATGATGGCAGCATGTTGAGACCAATATTCTAGTGCCACATTAACACACATTGAATGTCTTCATGCAACACAAACCTAAGTGCACCAAATAATCACTCAAGCAGTAGGAGACCATGTTTTAAGTAAACTAAACACAAACAAAATGATAGACAACCAACATATCCTACCCTGCTTCTTCTCACCCATCGTGTACTCTAATGCACTCGTTCTACACTAGATATCCTAGCAGGCCGTTCACTGGAGAAGATTGACAACAAAATAGAAGCCAGAAGGGAGGGATCTGTGAATAAGTTGGTCTCCATGGCCTAGCTATTACCGATCCTTCCTTATATTGGTGTAGAAAGGCCTGTAACCAACTAATGCCCATCCTCAGATAGGGCAACACTGCCACCGGCCCACCATTCAACCTACTATATCAAGAATGCACATACACCAGCAGGTCCGATAATACATAGTCCTATATAAGGTAAAACCCGTCATAGCTTAATGTTAGATATATATAATCCTGTATATTATTCTAAGATCCAATCCAACCAAAAAAAAATCAACTCGCTGTAAATACAAAGAAATTACTTCACAGCTTTATAAGCATCCTTTTTAGCAACAAATTTCATGCCACAGATTTTTCCTAGAGCCCTTGAAACTTCACTTCTTCCAAGTGAGGCTGTGACACTCTGGAGTTTTAAAATGAAGTGAAGTTACACTAGTAGAATGCAGAAGAAAAGAATACCGATAGTTGCACTGCATCAGTTAGAGAAAATTAATCAATCATTCCCCCCACCCCCACCCCCACCCCCACCCCGTCTTTCATAAGTAGTGCAAAGCACAACCATGTGAAAGAACTAGCTCACCAACAAAACTGAGTCAAATCCTTACTACTGGAAATAATTTGTACAGTCACCGACTAAATACAGTAAAGCCCACCAGGATGAATTGAGGCCTTTTTGCTTAAATCTTAAAAGAAATAACCAGAACCCAAAAGCTGTAAGTTACCAAGTAAATCTCGAAAATTGTCAACCAAACTATAAGCAAAATATACCATATATATGGAAAAAGAAAGAAAATGAAAAGGTCGTTTTATTCTCATCTTAGAGCAACACGGCTTGCGATAACATTCAAATTTTTGCAACAACAGCATGTTCAAAGTACAGCACCTTGGTGGTGGGATCCTTTCTGCCAAGCCTCTTCAAGTGCTGCACCAATTCACCATCTATGCCCTGCATTAAGTTCGCCACATCACCATAAGGACAGTGCCCCCACATGGCTATTTCGCCGCACTAACCCGACACTCTATGAGCTCCCAGCAAGCATCACATACACTTAGCAAAATGATCCAACCCATAACTCTACCATACAACAACAATGACAACCTAAGCCGCATCATAAAGAAGACAAATTCACTTAAAAGGGCGGGCGAAAGACAGAATAAACACGTACGCAAGCAGCGTCCTCGCCGCTGCCGCCGCCGCCGCCGCCAAGCGGAGAATCGAGCCGGGAGCTTCCAAGATATCCTCCGAAGCCCGCCGTCGCCGTCGAGCCGGCCGGCAAAAGCGAAGCTGCAAGGCTGCCAGAAAGCGACGACAATCGAATTCAATCGGAAACCACATGTCAATTAGGTGCAAAAGATTAGCACCGGGAGGGTGTCTCGCGGGGCTACCTGCTGCTCGAAGGGCGCGCCTTGGCTCGAGCTCCTTCTCCTTTTGGCCTCCCCATCTCGGCGAGCCGCCTCCTTCTTTCTCCGGTTTTGTGCTTCTTCTTCTTCTTCTTCTTCTTCTTCCTCCTCCCCCTCTGTCGCAGACGCCGAGATTTCGAGAGCTTCTTTCGCTTTGGATGCTGTTTTGCGATGGTGATTGAGGCTGTGCAGTACACACGGGTTGAGCTTGAGCGAAGCCAATTCAACTGGCTCGCAGCTTCACCGCCTCCGCTCTCTCGCCGCGCGTCGCCGCCACCAAAGGCGGCCGATCGATTTTGTCGCCGTCTCTCTCTCTCTCTCTCTCTCTCTCTCTCTCTCTCTAGCGCCTACAGGTCGAGCTTTTGTCCCCTTAGAAATCGCTTGAACTTATACACAAAGCTCCGTTTGTTGTGCAAAAAATAAATAATCTAAAAAATAATTTTCTTAAAAATAATTTTTTTTATTATTTAAAATAAATAGCTAATAGAAAAATATTTTCATTAATCATGACAATTTTTTTTGGTCACATCATTAACCATGACAATTTTTATCTAAATATTTTTTGTTTATTTTTAGGAAAAATTTCAATTTGGTACCCCAAGTGTGGTCATTTTCTCAAAAAATGGTCCCAAGTGTCAAATAAGGGCCTGAAGTACCTAATTAATCTTAAATAGGGGCCCGAAATGGCCAATTAGTCTCAATTAAAGGCTTGGGTTCGTCGGGCGATCAAATGTTCACCTGTCGGCGAGCACGTCACTGTTCCGGCGGGGCAATTTCGTCTTTTAATTTTATTTTATTTTCTCTTTTCCTTTTCTTCTTCTTCTTTTTTTCTCTTTTCCCTCTGCCGGCCAGAGCTGGGCCCGGCGGAGGTGGCTGGCCTTAGGTGGAGGCCGCCCTCGCCCGGGCTAGGCGGGCGAGGGTCGACCCTCGGCAGATCCGACAAGGGCAACCCTCGCCCTCGCCAGATCTGCCGAGGGTCGGCCCTCGCTGACCTGGGTTTCCCTTGCCGGCATCGGGCGAGGGTCGACCCTCGCACGCCCAACCCGGGCGAGGGCGGCCTCGCCCAATGCCCCCGAGGGCCACCCTCCGCGGCGGCGGCGAGGGCCACCTGCTCGGGATTTGGGCGGGCGAGGGCACCCTCGCCCGAGCCCTCGCCCGGCGTCGGGCGGCCCTCGCTGACGCCGGTGAGGGCGGCCTCCGCCGACCCCGGCTATGGCCGACGGAGGGAAAAGAGAAAAAAAAGAAAAAGAAGAAAAGGAAAAGAGAGAAAAAAAAAAGTAAAAGACGAAATTGCCCAGCCGAAACAGTGACATGCTCGTCGACCGATGAGCATTTGACCGGCCGGTGAACCCATGTACTTAATTGAGACTAATTGGGCACTTCAGGCCCTTATTTGACATTTTGTCCACTTTGAACCCCTTTTTAAGAAAATGACTCAACTTTGGGTACCAAATTGAAATTTTCCCTTATTTTTATAAACGATACAAGTCAGGGTTTTTTTAAAAATGATTTTTCAGATGATTATATTCCGCAAAACAAACGGAGCCATATGGCATCTCTCTTCGTCCTTAAATCGAATCGATACTTCGTTCACATTGAGCAATTTGAGGTTTTTGTTTTTCATTTTCTTTCCCTTGAATGCGAAAATCAATACCCCCACCGAATGTTAATAGGTTCATTATAATAAAGCCGCTCATGTCTCAAAAACCAATCACGTGATGTCATGTGACCTATTGGCAGCAAGGATTTGAGGACAAAACCGTTCTTCTATTAAGGCCCATCAAATGGGTGGGTTTGATCAGATTTGGATCGGATCGAAAATAGTCCAATCCAAATCGATTCATTTAATTCGTATTGACCCATTTTTATGCAATACAATTTTAGCGATCCAAACCCAACCCGACCCATATTGTTAAAACACATCCATATTTATACCAAGACATTTAACTTATTTTAAGCTTTTTATGTGAATATGTTACTTCAATTAAAAAATTATCAAATTAAGAAAATAAATCAACTAAATAAAAATATGTTAGTAAAAAAATGAAAAAAAGTTTAAAAAAAATAACCTAAAGATTGAAATGCTTATAAAGAACTAAAAAAGGTATGAATGTGCGGTGATTACACATTTTAATTGCATGCTTTAATTATCCAGGTCAATCTAATTCTTTTTTTTTTAATCTCCAAAGCCAATTTGGGTCCATTTGTACTATATATAAATGGGTCAATATGGGCCGTACTATTTTCAATCCAACCCGATCCGCTCATCCCATTTCATGGCCCCTACTTTTCACATTTACCCTCGCGTGGAATTAAGGATAGGCTAATAACAAGTCTATGAATGCGATTGACATGTCTACCATCATTCGTTCATCTTTGGCAACTGCCCACCACTTTCTAGAGCTTCCATCCACTCGAGTCTTCTTTTCTACACAAAACCAATCAACTTTAGCACCACCATGGACGTTAATGGAGAATCTATTGTAGGGATTAGACTATCGTGACTCTCGCAAACAATGCAATAATGGAGTTTAATGTACCAAATTGAGGTTTCATTAACGAGTATTGAGTGGTATAAGAGTATTGTTTTTACAGTAATAGTCACATGAAGAGGTGTTACAGCTTTTAATACCCTAATAAAGGAAAAATACCAAAAACCATCATGAGATTTCGCCACTATCCATCTTTGCATCCTCCATCTTCAAAAATGGTTGTTTTTCTATTGGAAGATGTTTATGTATGCAACTCACATTAGTCAAAAGGGGGGTTGGCAAAAGTTTCCTTCAACACTTTGCATCTTATAACAAAATACCCTTGATACTCTTCCATGCCCATCCCACCTACTTGGAAACCCTAGACTCACCTCAAATACCTTAACAATGCGACAACTAATGTATTGAACCCACCTTCGTATGGTGGCTGTAGAATTGTAAAACTGGCAGAGACCGTCTCACACGCACAAGTTAATGGTATTAGCACACCCTTTACACATAGAAGCAAATCCCATTGCACATAGGATTTAGCTATCGGAACACCCGAATCAAAGGGGCGTTCCCGTTGGCATTATCTAAAGTAATGTTAAAAATTTTATAAGAGAGATGTCAAACTCATTGACGGCTCTCATTATTTCAGCAACCATATCGTAGGAATCATGCAGAAATATGAACTTCTTAAACGTCAGAATTCGGTGACGTAATTCCCAATCCTCATTGACCCAATGGCCGTTGACACTAGTCCACAGTGCGCATAATTCATAGGGTTGGTCCAAAATCGGAAGTTAAAAGAGACAGGAAGTTATCGGCGCCGCCACTTTCCCTTGGTATAGCAACTTGCAGTTTTCTTATGCTTCTTGTCCGTAAAATGGGTCTAAATTGTGGTTATAGAGCGGTTTGCACATAGTAGAAAAAGCGGGGATCTTCTACGAAGCCAAAGGGTTGGTCCATGATAAGCTAATAAACTACAAGCTCCTACCGATTCCACGTCTTGTTGTACTTAAACGAACTTCCGGCACGTATCGTCATATTTGAATAGCTTCCCTGGATCGCGGACATCTCTGCATCATGGTGCCTCTTCTAGTGGTCAACCTCACTTGTGGATCGCAGGATAATTTGGCACCACATATCTTCCAAACAACATCCTTAACAACATTGGCATTGATCCCGAGCCGGAATGTCCTCCCGACACTAGAAATTCTTCTTTGCGAAGCCGTCATTGTAGTTGTTTGGGGGTTTTCTTCGTGGGGTAAGGGTTTCATGAGAGGTGGCGTTTTGGCCAGGACTAGCTCGTGGCGTTGGACCCAATGATTCTCCTAATTCTCGTATTGTTGTGTCTCGTCGTTATCGAATCGGGCTTGTTGCCTAAGTGGAGTTAGCACGTAAACACTACTGTTGCGAAACTCACCGAAGACTCAAACGATTTTTGTAAGCTGAAGTCCGGATTGAGTTGAGATAATTGGAAACGATTGTTGTTGTTGTTCTCATTTTGAATATAATTAAATCATTGCAAGGAGAAAAGGAAATAATTAGAGAGCATGAGCATGAGGAAGTGATTTGTTAGAGTAAGGATTGATAAATGGCAAAGAACTAGAAGGGCACGGGCCAATTCATTGAGGGAATTATTTTTGTCCAATCATCATTGGATCGTTGGATTTGGCCCATCCAACTTTGAGAGCGGAAAAAAAAAAGAAAAGAAATCAGGCCTATGCCAATCCATTCACGGGCCGGGGACCCAACGGGTTGAGCATAGTACGTTCCTATTTTCCAAAAACGATCGTTCGTATCGTTTAAAATAATTAATTATTTAAAATTATTTTCATATTCATCAAAATTTATGTTTCGACAATTTCGAGAACGGTAAAAAAAAAATTTGTTCATTCATTTTTATAAGTGATTCGAACAATCAGTTTCTGAAAAATGTTAACCAAAGTTTTCATTATTTGCGAAACAAACAGAAACTTTTGAATAAGGCTATCACATGACAATTGTATTACAGTAAACAGACACTTTCATCCTAATTTTATTGATCAAAATTTCTGCATAGAGCTTGAGAAATATTGCAAGGCGCTAGACTTTGTACGTGCATGGCACAGGCTATTATTTTATAGTGTGAAAAGAAGGTGAGGAAGTAAAGAAAAAAGGATGGTCCGATTCCACATCTGCCACAGTAAAAAGTAGAATTTGGGTGCTCTACTTTTATTATCTTATCTGAATAAATAAATAAATAAAAACTGATTCTTGAGTTTCTTGAGCTTTTGGTGCTCGGAAACTGACCTAGACACTAAAAAAATTACACGACTTTCTTGAGGTTCCTTTTAAAAATTTTATTATATTGAAAAAAGATCGTGTTAACGAGTGTTTCATAATATTTTTCAAGCATGTTTTCTAATGTGTATGAGACGGGGTAACTACCACATCCGATAAAGGTTAGTTGGGTGCCAAAGAGCCCCGTGCTCCTATCAACGGGGAAAAAGGTTAATTTGGAATAATTCGCTTTATTCCAACACAACAAAAGAAAACGCGATGTATTAAATTGTGCAATATCCTTAATCGGTTGCTTAATACGCGTCTAGAGGACACATGTTAATAAAATTCAATAAAAGAATTGATTCTTTTGCTTGAAGGCGATCGTATTGATGAACAGGTTTCTCTTTGACTATCAACGAAAATCAGATTCAACCCGGAGCATTGAGTTGGAATGAATAATTATGAGGATGACTTTTCTTTTTTTTTTAATCATTTGGGGCCAAAGTGCGATATTCGCGATTATTCATTATTTTTAAAATATTATATTCCGAAACGCTCTTCGTTTTTCAGTTTAAACTAAATGGTAGTGATTCTAGTATTGAAAATACGACATCGCATGAACCCTAAATATATTATATTCAACGATAAATGCGTAATAACAATATCCATAACAACTTGGCAGTAAGATTGAAACGGGCCGGCTTTCTTTTAGCCTAGCCTTACTTTTCAAAGGAACAAAATGTAACGATTTCATCAAATAAGTAATTCAAGAGAACTATTATCAAGTATTTCATTTAAATAAAAAATCGAATTAGAAAGAAGAGGCGATCAGGAAATTACAATTGAACAACACGATGTTTTCTATCGAACAAATGAAAAGAAATAAAATATAAATATATATAAAGCTTTAGCAAAAACACATGAAAAGAAAAGAGAAAAAAGAAAAAGTCCTTTGAGTAAAATAATGGAAGAATAAAAGAGGAAAAGAAAGGAAAAAGTTGCATATTCGTCGGAGCTGTCGTTAAAAATGGACACGTCGGTCCGAGTTGCTGGCCCGCACTAGTCGTACTCGTGAATAAGTTTCATTTGCTGTGCATTTTTCAAGTTACGATGATTTTTTTACCGTCTCAAATCGCTATTTTCCGATGAAAGATAAGGTAATACTCTCAAAATAAAAGATTTAAAAAACTTTACAAATACTAGACACACAATAATTAGGGGATGATTACAAAAATGGCTCTGAACTTTGTCCTAATATATAATGTGGTTCCCGAATTCTTGATTCGTTCAATGCGGTCCTTGAACTTTAATCCAATGTGTAATGTGGTCTCTGAATCTTTAATTTATTCAATGTGATCTCTAAATTTTTGGTAAATGTTCAATTTAATTCACGAATTATCTAATTCGAGGATTAAATTAAATATATACCAAAATTTTAAAAATCACATTAAATAAATTAAAAATTTAAAAATTATATTACATATCGAATTAAAATTCAGAAATCACATTAAAAATTAAAAAATTCAAGAACCACGTGGATGACCTTTATGAGCCGGCGGGGGTAGATATAATCTCGGGTGGGCCCCACGAATTCCACGATAGTGGTTGGTTCCGTCCCTTTCCTGCCGACTCCCCAATTTCATTACGTACCAACCGCGTTGATGTACGGTTCCCACGCCTTACCGTTCTGTTGACTTTTCTCGCTTCCGCAAATGCAAAATTTCCACCTCCTTCGAGATCCAAGATCAAAGCTAAAAAGCACAAAAAGCAAAGCGAGCCTTCCGCTAAAAAAATTGACCTAAAAAATATTAAATATTTCGAAATCCGTTTATTTCACAAAAAATAAATATTTTTAAAAAATGATAATTCGTATATTTCGAAATAATTAATCAATTGAAAGTAAGTATTTTTATGGACGATGAAAATATTTCTCGTTTATTCATTTTTGTAAGCAATACGAATGATTGTTTTTGGAAAATATTTTGCAAATCGCTCGCAGAACAAATAGTGTCCTGATTGTGAGATAGAAATCAATAATTTTACTATATTAAATTTACGAAAAAACAGTAAGATTTAATAAAATAGGATTAAGCATAAACCTCTCGAGCCCGCTCCGATACGCGCGCACAAAAATTAACGGCTCCGATCAACCGATCCACGCGATCGAACGGCCGAGATCGAGCCGCCCCGCCCGCGCGAATGCCGAAGTTAACCGTCGAACAATAAGAAAATACTATTATATCTCAGACAACTCAAAACCCGACGCAGGTCGGCATCGAAGCTATAAATGCAAACGGAGACCGCTCGAAGCTGACTAGATTCACCCATATCGATCGGGAAGCTACGAACGCGTCCAAGCACACGCATCGCGCGACCAAGGGAAGTGGATCTGACGAGGCGCGCGCGGCGAGATCGACGACGCGGGCAACCCACGAGAGCCCCCCGCCTCGGTAATGGACGGACGCCACTAAGGAAAGAAGGGACGGGAAGAGACGGAGAGAGTTTTCGCCGGAGCATTTCGTCGAGCACCTGAGGGCGGCGTCGTTCGTGGCCGCGAGAAGATGTGGAGGAGATGGCTGTCCTGTAATCGACCGAGGCTGAACGCCCTGGGCGCGGCGGCTTCCGGGTCCAGCTACGGCGGGGGCCACCGCATTTGCTCCGCCGTGCCGCCGCCGAGGCCGCCGGCGGTTTTCCGTTTGCTGAGCAGGGCGCTGTGCGTCGAGCCGGCGAGGAACGGAGGGGGGGCTTCGGCGCCGTCGCCGCCGCCGCCGCCGCCGTCTTCTTCTTCGGCTGGAGACAAGGATCCCATATCGTTCGCGGAGGCCAAGAGTCTAATGCGGCTGGTGAACGTGGAGGCCCTGAAGAAGAAGCTCGGGATGGAGGAGAAGGAGGTGATCGCGTACGAGGAGCTGCTCGAGGCGTGCCGGAGCATCGGGGTCGCCAAATCCCGGGACGAGGCCGTGGCCTTCGCCCAGGTCCTCGACCAAGCCGGGGTCATCCTTCTCTTCCGGGACAAGGTCTATCTTCACCCTGATAAGGTAATCTTGATCTTAGGGATTCGTATATGTCCTAGCTACCCTGATGATATCATTGAACTTGCTGTTGCTGGATCTAGGCTACTCTGTTTACAATACGTGCGATGCCAAAATGTTGCTCTTGGACTGGTGTAACAGAGCCCTATCATTTCCATTGCCGTTTTCTCTTACGGGGGTAGCTCTATCATGGTGATCTCAAGAATATCCTAGGGGTCTCAAGCTGCCTTATCTGGTCTCATACAATGTGCATAAGACCATCTTTCTGGGTTTTCAAATCTTTTGAGTGTTAAGAAGTATGTCGGAATGTACTTGTTGACCCCCACTAATTAGTTGAGCACTCCATCAGAGCTTAGGATATCGATTTAAAGTCTTGGATATTCCTTCTCCCGATCGCTTTGGCTGGTGGGAAATCTTGAACTCCAGTCTCCGGTTTTTTTCGACTATCCCGATTCCTTTGTGTTTATGATCCTCCTGAAGCAACTTCACTCATCTTATCAGCTGACATCTTGAACTCCATCAGAGCTTAGGGTATCAATTTGAAGTCTTTGGATATTCCTTCTACTGATCTTTTTGACCGATGGAAATGTTGAACTCCAGTCTCCGGTTTTTTCGAGTATCCCGATTCTGTCGTGCTTATGATTCTCTTAAAGCAACTTCACTCATCTTAACATCTGTTATCAATGCTTTTTTTCCTTTTATATGTGCCGTTGGCTATTTCTATCCACATGTTCATCAAGTATGACAATGTTTGTCTTGGTCTGTTTACACCCAGAGAGAGAGAGAGAGAGAGAGAGAGAAAGAGATATCTAGCTTTCTTTGACATTTTGCAGTTAACTACAATAATCCAATTTCAAGAGTAAAGGAAAAGATCTAACATAGTTACTTACACCAAACCTTAGAAGATGGAGAAATGTGTGTGTAGGTATGTTGACAGAACCGTGTTGAGGATTTCCCTTTTCGGTTTTGCCATTACCATTTTACTCCTCGTTATGCATTCGCTAATTCAAGATGGATGTACTTTTGACTTGCGATGAGAAACAATCCTCATGCTTTCCGGTGGAAACTTGTTTTGAATGTAAAGAATAGTGAAGGCTGCGTACTATCTAGTTTGTTTATTATCTACTAATAAATGAGGGGGAATAGTTCAATGCATAGCCTAAGCAGCAGATAATCTCTCAAGGACTATAATGGGTGTATTTATTTGCTTGGCGTATTCACTATATTCTTAGTTGAATCGGCGTACTGAGCTTTATTCAATTTGAACTCTGTGATGCATCCATACCATTTTAAGAAGCCACTCACCATTGAAATTCAGTCAATCCGGAGATCACCTAGAATTCATAGTTTTGATCAATTTAAGCTAAATTTAGTTGGTAGATCTGACCTTTGAAGCACAATTTTCTATTTGATTATCCATCTTCAGAGATAGATTTTGCGCTGTGGTAGTCCCGATCGGTCCAGGTTTGGTGGTGTATCTTTGGCTTATACGTGCAGATCTACTTTTGAGTGTCCATTTGTGTGGATGTTTTCTGTGGCACTGAAAGTTTGAAGCTTCATTTCATCTTTTGCCCCTGGATCTCTATACCCTCCTATTCAATTGTGTTGGAAACTAATCCGCCTGTATTTCATCTATTGTTTGCATGAACCAGGTAGTGGATCTGGTAAGAAGAGCTGTACCCATTGCTCTAATGCCTGATGACGACCCCTTGAGGGATGAGCTCAAGCAACTCCAGACGAGAAAGGAAGAAATTGATCTCTTGGCACACAAGCAAGTCCGCCGCATCCTCTGGACGGGGCTGGGGTTGTCTGTGTTTCAGGTCGGGCTTTTCTTTCGGCTAACGTTTTGGGAGTTCTCCTGGGATGTCATGGAACCTATTGCATTTTTCACTACAACCACGAGCATAGTACTAGGCTATGCATATTTCCTCTTCACGTCCAGAGACCCTACTTACCAGGACCTAATGAAGAGGCTTTTTCTCAGACGGCAAAGGAAGCTGTTAAAAAAGTACAGTTTCGATGTGGATAGATTCGTGGAATTGCAGAAGAAGTGCAAATCGCCTCTAGACGCCGGCACCTCCATTAAGAACCGTGTAGGCGTGGATTTGGATTTGGAAGATGCCTTGCGCTGAAAGGTTTTTGTTTTCAGCCGAGGCCTCGCTTTAAAGGTTGATGTCCTCCTCCTTTTTGGGTACTAACGTGCTTTGAATTTCTCAGCTGTAAACTTTCACTTTTCGGGCTTCGCCTGCTATTATTCGGAAGGAAACAACAAATTTACTCAGTTAGGAAGTATTGTTTTGTAAAGATGACTGCTAAATGTTCTCGTATTTTGTCGCAAACCGTCCCATGACCTCAAGGGACGCACCCGCCGTGTCCTGGAATTTCCCTGTCAAGCCTACGCTTTTGGCTTGTGCTATAATTCCTACGTGCCCTGAATTCGATCCTATGCTTGTTCTGTTCTGTGACCCAAGTAATTGTAGTGCGCATCTGGTTCAAGGAGAGACATAACAAAAGGTTCTGTACTAATAAAGGACACAAAAGGAAAGACAGAAACAGAGAACCTTAGAGCAAGTTTAGTTCACTCCTCAAGTGAAATGCACGAAGATGGGAGTGATGGCATCGTGAGGATATTGGCAATTTTTCCGTCCTATATGGATCACTCCCCGGGTTAAGAGCAAAAGCTTGTTGCCATAAGTGCCTCCAAAAGCCAATTGTAATACATAAATAATCGTCGATCAAATTATGTGCATATGATCAAATACATGTGATATCTTATAGTCGGAGTGATACGTATTATATTGTCGTGACAACCTTCTTCTTTTTTTTGGTCGAAGAGAATGCCGCTCTTCAATAAGTATAATAGATAGTTAAAAGGGAAAGTTCCAAATAAAGGTAGAAGTGTCCTCATTTTTTAATGAAGGGCTTGAAGTGATTATGACGGATTTAAACAAGAGCTTAAAGTAACAATGTCAATTTCAAATAAAGGCCTAACCTTGCATTTTGGTCCAAAGATATTTTTATCCTAAATTTTAATTAAATTAGATTACAACTTAAGAAAGTTAAGAGCTTTTAAAAAAGAAAAAAAATACATGCCCCATTGTCGGTGGGGCGCTGGCTGACTAAATATTCTGGCCTGTGGCCACCGCCCCATCGTTGGTGAAACATCGGCAATGGTCAGTGGGGTCGCTAGCCTTCACCGAGGCGATAACCTTGGTTCTCTAATCGGCAAGGGTCGTCGCCCGTCGCGGATGCCCCATCAACGATGGGGAAGATGGGGTAGCGGCCACGGACGGAAGGCCTAGGTTTCTTTTTTTGTGCAAGTGTTTTCTTTTGTTAGTTTTAGCTTTTTTTCTTTTTTGAGTTTGTATTTTTATGGAATTTTTTTTGGATATTTTATCCTCATTTAATTAAGATTTTGTGTTTAGGATTCAGATTAAAACAATATCATTTTAGTGTTTTAGTTAACTTTAATGCCACGCAGGACGCCATGTTGGAGAAATAAAACATTAAAAAAATCATGCTAGTATTTTTCGTTAGTCAAATTAAATAGAGTTAACAAAATGACTCAATTTTTACACAAAATCAAATCTTAAGCAAGGCGGTCCTCACTTGTGACTTTTGAGGGGGATCTTGCCCGTTGGGCCTATATTTAAAATAGGAAAAACGCCACAAAAAATCTCAAATTATGTCACTTGTGATAAATTTACCCTGATTTTTTTTTGGGTTAATACCACGAAAAACCCTAAACTGGTATACTTGTGACACATTTACCCCAAACTATTTTTTGACCATAAAAAACCCAAGCCGTACACCTATGACAATTTTACCAAACTATTTTTTGACCATCAAAACCCTAATCCGACAATTTTACCTGACTTCCACAAAAACCTCATAATATGCGACAATTTTACCTGAATTAAAATTTTAATATTTTTTTATTTTTTTCGAATTTTTTTATTTTTTTCCTTTTATTTTTTTCTTTATCTTCAACCTCTGCGTCTTCGCGGATCCGTGAGCGGCCCTCGCGGCGCGCGAGGCGGCCCTCGGCTTCCCCCTCTGCCGGTCGCGGACCGGCGGCGGCCGAGGTGAAGTGAAGAAAAAAAAAAAAGAAAAGAAAAGAAAAATAAAAAATTCAAAAAAATAATATTAAAAATTAGTTGGGGTAAAATTGTCGACATGGTTTGGTTTGTGATATGTTGGGTAAAATGTCATAATATGCTGGAGTTTTTTATGGTCAAAAATAGTTTGAAGTAAATGTAGTGTCTGGTTAGAGATTTCGTTTATTAACCCTTTTTTGACACGAAAAACCCCAAACTATGCCACTTGTAACACATTTACCCCACAATACATTTGTCCATGGGCATTTTTGTCTTTTTCTTTTTTTTTTTTTTTTTTTTTGTTTACTCTTCCCCTCTGCCGGGCGGCCCTCGTCTGACTTCGGCAAGGGCTGCCCTCGTCGGATCTGGCGTCGGGTGACCCTCGCCGGCGTCGGGTGACCCTCGCCGGCGTCGGGCGAGGGCCGCCCTTGCCAAATTCGGCGAGGGCAGCCCTCGCCTGAGTCGGGCCTGTCCAGGCGAGGGCAATCCTCACCCGACGCAGGTGAGGGCCACCCTCGCCGGCTTCCCTCCGCTGACCACGGCAGAGGGAAAGAGAGAAGACAAAAAAAAAGAAAAAAAAAGAAAAAAAAGACGAAAATACCAATGGACAATGTATCGTGGGGTAAATATGTCATAAGTGGTATAATTTAAGATTTTTCGTATCATAAATTTTTTTTTGAATAAATTTATCATAAAAGTTATAATTTGAGATTTTTGGTGGTGTTTTTCCTTCAAAATAAGATCTATTTCAGCTTCTGTTTTTAGGTCGGGAGAGCAAGTACAGGATCACTAACCTCGAGCCAGGACATCTTGGTACCGTTGACTTGAATTTGACCCGACGATGATCATTTGCGACGGGACGAGACATTAGCCGCGAACTCCGGCCGACCACGACGGCCGTATCTCCTCCACTTCTCCCCCGGGTCTCCCTCGCCGGAAGGAAGAGACAGAGACAGAGAGAGAGAGAGAGAGAGAGAGAGAGAGAGAGAGAGAGAGGATGGAAGCGGCGGCGGAGGGGCTGTGGGGGCTGGCCGACTACTCGGAGCGGCGAGGGGAGGTGGGGCATGCGATCAAGTGCCTGGAGGCGGTGGTGCAGACCCCGACCTCCCTCCTCCCGATGGTGGAGGTGAAGACCCGCCTCCGCATCGCCACCCTCCTCCTCCGCCACTCCCACAGCGTCACCACCGCCAAGTCCCACCTCGAGCGCTCCCACCTCCTCCTCAACTCCATCCCTTCCTCCTTCGACCTCAAGTTCCGCTGCTCCAGCCTCCTCAGCCACTGCTACCACCTCATCGGCGCCATCGCCTCCCAGAAGACCATCCTCCACCGCGCCCTCGACCTCGCCTCCTCCCCTCCCGCCGCCTCCTCCGACCCGTAAAATTCCCCCCCTCCCCTCCCCCGCCCCCTTCCTCCTTCATCTGTTTGCTTTCTCTTATTGGGATTCCTTTCTGTTTCTGGAAGGGTCGCCGCCAAGCTCTGGTCCTGCAACTTCTACTCGCAGCTCGCCAACTCTCTCATCATCGAAGGGGACTTTCGCAACTCGGTGTCCTCCTTAGAGAGCGGGCACCGGTTCGCCGCCGAGCTGGGCTACCCAGAGCTAGAGGTTGGTGTTCTGCATCGATTCCGGAATTCGAGTATCCGGAGTGCTTGATTTCGCTGGCAATTTGTCGTGTTTCGATGCGCGTAAGATTGGATGAATAGCCTAGCATGTCCTCAAATCTTTTCGTGCATGTATGGGGGAGAATCTGCGGCGTTTGGGTTTATTTGAATTTTACTTTTTCGATGAGTTTGAGGGACACGGTGTTTGCAATTGTTCTGACTCCCTGTTTCGGTGTGATGGATGTATCAGATGTTCTTCGCGACATCTGTTCTGCACGTGCACCTGATGCAATGGGAGGATGAGAGCACCGTAGAAAGAGCTGTGCATAACTGCGACAGGGCTTGGTCCTCCATTCAGCTAGATAGAGTAAGTTTGGGTTTGGATCCGTAGGATGGATACTACCATTCTTACTTTCGGTATGCACATCAAGCGAACTTCTGATATATATGGTTTTGATTCGCTATCTGTTTCTGGTGCAAAGCATTCTTGAGTTCTCATTAAATTTGGTTCTTTTTTTCTTTTGTATAATTCCAAACTCCAAAAGCGAAAAGGCTCCCTTGGTCTACTGTTTTACAACGAGCTGCTGCACATCTTCTATTGTCTTCGGACTTGTGACTACAAGGGTGTTGCAGAGCACGTTGAAAGATTGGATAATGCTATGAAGGCTGATTCGCAAATGACGCAGAATATACAAGAGCTAACAAGAGAACTTGATGCTTTGGATCAACGTCTCTCCCAGCCTGACCTGCACCCGAGGGATATATCAGCGTTGTCTAAAAGACAAGTACAGCTTCAAGAGCAGCTGAAAAGCATGACTTCTGTAAATTCATCTGGGCCTCTGGAACCAGATCAATATATCAATATAAAGCAGCTGTGGGGAGATAAGCTGGAGCTGGCCCCTCCTCCCATGAATGGGGAATGGCTTCCTAGAAGTGCTGTGTATGCACTTGTTGATCTTATGGTGGTAGTTTCTGGACGTCCAAAAGGACTGTTCAAAGAATGCAGCAAGAGAATCGAATCTGGCATGCTTATTGTCCAGGGTCAGTGCTTCTTTGATACAATTCCTTCCATTTGTGTTAGCAAGGTCATCTTTTTGCCAAGATCAGCTGCATGTGTAATCCCTTTTGCTAATCACTCCAGAGTCAACCTGAAAACTAGCTTGCATGATTCTGTCGTCTTACTTTGTGATATACATATGTCTGCTCTAAGAAAGCACACAAGTTCAAATAATCTGAATCATGTAATTTTCACAGATGAGCTGGTGAAGCTAGGCATAACTGACAATGTGAAAGGTAAGCTCCTGCTTGAACACCAGAAAAGCTGGGCACCTTTCCTTTGCATAAAGCTAAATGATCTTCCTGCTTCAAAATTTCTTTTTTGGCAGAGGTGGATTTGCAACATTCTGCTATCTGGATGGCTGGTGTATATTTAATGCTGCTGATGCAATTTCTTGAAAACAAGGTGGCTGTGGATCTCACACGATCTGAATTTGTTGAAGCGCAGGAGGTTGGTGGCTTGCCTTGAGAATTTTGTGGAATTTGAAAGAATAAAAGAAATGGTTTTTCTGTAGGAAGTGAAAATAAACTGTTTCTAGGTCGATAGTCGATACTTGGCTTTTCCCAGAACTGCATCATTTACACCGCGTGTATAAAGTCCATGGAATTACCGAGGAATGGGATTCTAGTATAAATAGAGAATACGGGGCCAAAAAATGGATTTGACAGCATCTGTGATTCTTTAAGATTTGAATCTGGTATTGCTCTTTGGTGTCCCCTTCTTTATAAAGAAATTCAATGACTGGAAGTTTGGTTCTATTTACTCCTTTTCATCTCTTTATAAAGCTAAGATCACGTGGCTCGGGGAATAATAAGCTTATTTGGACTCTCTGCAAGAAGTAAAGCTTTTCTATAATCTTATTATGTAGCTATTGGTAATTCTCTATCGGAACTTTCAGCCACTTTCCTTATCAAGCTGTTTGACAGTCCAATGGATTTTGCTGCTTGATCTGGACTCGAGGGATAGAACAGCATTGTCTTAAAAATATTGAAAACATGAGAGAGAGAGAGAGAGAGAGAGAGAGAGAGAGAGTTTGGACTCTCTGCAAGAAGTAAAGCTTTTCTATAATCTTATTATGTAGCTATTGGTAATTCTCTATCGGAACTTTCAGCCACTTTCCTTATCAAGCTGTTTGACAGTCCAATGGATTTTGCTGCTTGATCTGGACTCGAGGGATAGAACAGCATTGTCTTAAAAATATTGAAAACATGAGAGAGAGAGAGAGAGAGAGAGAGAGAGAGAGAGAGAGAGAGAGAGAGATCTTGGTTTCTTTGTTTCTTACTATTTATGATCACCAAAATTGTTATCTCACAAGCTAAGAAAAACTAAGACTGGCATCTATATTTGCAGGCTTTGGTGCAGATGAAGAAGTGGTTTACACGCTTTCCAACTATCTTACAGGCTTGTGAGAGCGTAATTGAAATGCTTAGGGGCCAATACGCCCATTCAGTTGGCTGTTACAGCGAAGCTACTTTTCATTACATTGAAGCAGCAAAGGTTTGTCTTCTGAACTAACCCTTAACCGACTGTGGTGAGAGTTGAGTTGTAATTATTACGGTCTTGAAAAATTGCTGGGGAATTTTACCACTAAATAACTAAAATGCTTGTTTACTTGCACCAAATTTTAAGCTAACTAAACTGATGATAAACTTTTAGATAACTGAGAGCAAATCAATGCAAGCAATGTGTCAGATTTATGCAGCTGTCTCTTACATTTGCATTGGAGATGCTGAGTCCTCTGCACAGGTAAATGATGAGATTGCTGACATTTTGGCTTTTGTCATGTCATGATGCTCCTGATGGATTAGACTCTAATACTTGTTATTGTTTCCATCCAGGCACTCGACTTAATTGGGCCTGTTTACAGAATGATAGATTCTTTCACTGGAGTTCGTGAGAAAACCTGTGTCCTGTTTGCTTACGGTCTTCTGTTGATGAGGCAGCATGATTTACAAGAAGCTAGGTAAATTTCTTGCCTCCTTGAGATTTCTTTCCCGAGTTTGGGTAGGATGCTTATTGATGCGACTTTGGAGGGAAACTAATGCATTAAAGAGAAAGGAGAAGGAAATTTAGAAATTTTCTCTGATGATGGAAATGGATATAGCGGTAGCTGTCTCTGATATTTTCCTGTTTCAGTCGCTTACCATTGATATCGTTATTAATATTTTGGATGATTGATCGTTTTGTATCTAAAACTGTAAAGGAGCATTGCCATTCAATCTACTCAAATTATTGATACAATTATGCAAGTATCATTGGAGCAACTAATCAAAATGCAGAAAATGTGTTTATTCCTTCCCCATCAGCGAAGTAAATGGTTGTCTTTGGTTCAGGAATCGGCTAGCGAGAGGATTGCAGTTGACACATTCTCACTTGGGGAATCTTCAACTTGTTGCGCAATATTTGACAATTCTAGGTAGTCTAGCACTTGCCTTGCATGACACTGCACAAGCCAGAGAGATCTTGAGATCTTCTCTTACATTGGCGAAGAAACTTACTGATATTCCCACTCAGATTTGGGTATTATCTGTACTAACAGGTATATTTTATCCCATTCTAGTTTACACAGACTAAATTCGTTTTCTTTTTGGTTATTCATATACTTTCTACATGACCTTTTGTCGCCTAGCATGGTTCCTTGGTAGTTAGCTTTAAAACACTTATATTCTTGAGATCAAACGTACAGCAATGCTGACACTTGATGTGAGGCATGCACATCTCACCAGTCTTCAATAATTGGAAGCAATTTAGCTTTCATAGGCATTGGTATAGTTTAGACTCCCTGGACCTAATTGCTTTTTTATGTGCACTATATTCGAGTCCAGCCTTGTATCGAGAATTAGGGGAGAGAGGAAATGAGATGGAGAATGCTGAATATCAAAGAAAGAAGGTTGATGATCTGCAAAAGAGACTTGCTGATGCTCATTCGTCTATTCACCACATTGAACTGGTAAGATCATCTCTTATGCCTTTGTACTTAAGCCCTGTCATGATGAGCAGAGGGACGTGACTGGCAGTTAAGTTGTAGGAATTGAAACTGATTGTCATCTTTGCGTATCCTAAACAGATTGATAAAGTGAAACTTGAAGTTCAAAACTATCATGAGCTTGATGTCAAGCGTGCTCTCGGCTCATCCATGGGAGTAAATCTCGACATCCCAGAATCTGTTGGTTTGTCAACCCCATTACCGACTTCATCATCAAGGCTAGTGGATTTGGACACTGGGAGACGTGGGAAGAGAAAACTTTAGAATACGATTTGTAAATTCTTTCCTTTTGGAATAGATTAGTACAAAAGAATATGGGATACATGTGTATCATAAGCTGTGCAATTGAAAATTCATTCCTAACTAATTCTCCTTGTAGCAATGTTTCTTGTGTATCATTTATGCCACTTCCTTCGTGCCTTAATGCATTATTAAGTAACCCTTTACTGCTCATCTGTTTCTTCGAGTGTTGTTTTCTCTATCTTCTGAAAAGATGCACTATTAAATTGGGTGAGGTCCATAGCATGAGAATGTGATACCGCTATGCTTTTCCTTTACCGGCTCAGGTGTGATTTTTTCGTGATCCTCCGTCTGTTAGTTGATTACATGATAGGAAATCTAATACAATGGATGCAACAAACAGTATCTTCCTTGCTTATGCATTTTTCCGGGTGGTGATACATTTAAAAAAATATATGCTCGTTTGGATTCCCTGAGTAGATAATCTAAGAGCAATAAATAGCAAAAATAGTTGTGTCCACATTTGTAGTTTCTGCACAGGTTACAGCTTGCCGAGGACTGTATCGATTTTCTGATGCTTCTCCTTGACCCAACTAAGAGGTCCTCAGACAATAGCGAAGTCGGAGCAATCGTTGCCTGGAAGATTGTAAATCATCTACAGTGCATTCCCGAATTCTGCAGATATCCTTACTGGTGCCTCCTGGCTGGGGTTGATCATGATTCGGTATCTGCAGTCAGGCCGGCGATTTCTTTAAGCGGCTTCCACATGACCTTTCGCCTGCACATGCATTTAAAAGAAGCAGCTTAAAGCTAAATCTCATGGAGCGATGGAATGTGGAACTGAATCGCCCTTAGTAAAATACTTTCAGACGGCTATAGGTTTGTGCGTCTACCAGTTTCCGCATTCAGCGATGACCCTGACTTTTGGCCGGAGCGTGGGAAGTAAGGCTAGAAACTGGAGCTCGGATTTGGACAGAACCTGCAGAACAAGAAGAGTCATGTGGTATCAACCATCAATACGAGTTGCCTATACCTCCAAAGAATTCAGGTCGAGGAGGCTCACGTCTCAACCTACCTTGGCCTCGATTATCCAGACGACTAGGCCTTTGGCATCAGGGGGTAGCGCGGCGAGCCTGTAATCCACTTCCGGTGGGAAATACCACCTTGCTATGGGCTGCTTCCCGACGTGCGCCTACCTCTCCAATGCAAGAGTGGGATCGCAGTCAGGAGGGTGTCCGAAAGGACGAGATTGCGACTGAGAAAGAAACGGAGCTGGGGAAACTCGTAAGCTTACAGGGCAAACAGGGTGAATCTTGGTGAGAGTGGTCTCGGGGTCGCCGAGGCCTCGAGCCGTGAGGTCGAGGAAGTAGTAGCCCTGGTACCTGAGGCGAGCGAGGTAGCGGCCCTCATAGCCTCCCTCGTGAGGCGTGTAGATGGCGAGCGCTTTGTGCTCCTCGACGTCCGAGAGCCAGCGGCCGAGGTCGGGCTTCAGCAGATCGCCTCCAATGAAGTCCCCTATTCCGATCCCGCTGCATCTTACAGGTTCGACCCTGGACCTTCTCGAAGGCCGTCCTTGTCCCATGCTCACCCTCGTCGCATTCAGCTGTTCGACGATTGTCCCCAAAACGACACGGTTGTCCAGGCATTGCTTGCGTGGCCGGAGACCGGTGCCAGCCGGCGTGGCGCAGTTGAAGCAGGCAGCAGCTGCCATTTTGCTTATCCCTGTGGGAGACTTACAGTCCAATGGAGGAAGAGGGCGAAAACTGAGAAGAGGCTCGAGAAGTGAGCAATGTGGCTTTCAAACATTGAGACGTCGCATGCGCGGTGGAGAAACAAGATAAGGAAACGACCACGGCCACGAAGACTGACTGGACCCACGTAGGAATTCTAGTATATACTGAACACATTTATAGTTATATTAATGTGATATATCAGAGGTTTTTATGCAATAGTAAGGTTTCCTTTTACTACTTTCTGTCCATGTGATTAAAAATATCAAGTAAAATGCTAATATTAACCCTCAAAGAATTTAAGCATATGGTATTGATTCATTTCTTTAGTTAAGTCATTATATCCGGGGTATGGGATGGCATGGGTCACATTCTAGTGATAAAAAAAGGGTGATTTTTGGGGCATCTGCAGAGTCGGATGTCTGGGGAAAGTGTGTTGACTAGTTTTAAATAGCAAGAGTAGATTACTTGAAGGAAAGGAATTCAAGATCCAAGTAACAAATGCCTACAAATTGAGGAAACTTGTTAGCCTAATCCTTGCTTGTGCTAGGTCCGGTCGAGCCTGAGAAATCGACACGTCGTTCTTTATAGCATGCGAGCTTGAGTCACAAAGTTAGGTTCGACTTGTAATCTGAACCGTCCTGACGTGCCAATAGGGACAATCTAGAGGTGGATTAACCCTTGTTATCAACAGCTTCTCCCATAGTAATGACGAGGTTTCAGTTCAATCAACGGTTAGGCCGAGCACCTAGTGACATAGCCTGCTAATTCAGCTAGTTGTTTAGTCAAGTGTCTAGATGCAAGCTCTCGATAAGGTATGAGAACACGTAAAACCAAATGCTGGTTTTGAACTGAACACAACAAACGGGACAACTTCAAATCAGCTTGGCTTCGGTTGAGTGATTTGAACCCAGTTTGGCTGGACCTTAGCTAATGCATGGTTGAGTATTCAATTCTCAAGCCGCGTTAGCTAAGTAAAATAGCGGTCGGGAAACAAATGCATCCACCTTGATACACGCATGCAAAAATGCGAGCGCTGAGAGAGAGAGAGATCAAACAATATCTGAACAGACTAAGCAGTAACTTCCAGTCATCTATTACTGAGGATGAACAAGCATTGTGAATGACCTATAGGTCCTATACAACATATATTGGCGCATAAATGAACGAAAGCTAATTCAGCTGCTCTGAGGCATCTTGGAGTATAGATAACTACATCATCAGCAAACTAATTAAGGTCCATCAAGCTATTTTTGCCTAAGTTTCCTAACAAAAAAAGGAAGAGGGAGAAAGACGGCGAAACGGCTTTATCTGGGGGTGACCGTCGGAGTAACTCCACTGATGAGGTCGCTGCCAGAGACGTCATATGACATATTAGGATTCATTATCTCAGAAGAAGAAGACGGCGGTGTCATTTTATTTGTAGCCTCGATCGAGAAGGACTCCGTCGTCCTACCATCTAACCCGGGTGCCAAAAGCCATATGCTTTCCAGCTCGCGCACGACATCTGCCATTGAAGGCCGTGCATCTGTCTCGTCTTGGCAACATTTGAGGGCCAACATCAGGAACTTCTCGACGCATTCTGAAGGATAAGATCCCATGCTTCCATCAACGATAGAGAAGGTGGTGCCAGATTGGTGTGCGATATTCACCTGCCATGCCAACTAAAAAGTTGAAACATACTAGAATACGGTGTAACTGATGTATTGCAATTCTATTACTAAGTATCAAATTGTACTAAGACTCCATAATCTTGGTCACAGAATGAATGCACTTTTCGGTGTTCAACATAATGTAGAGCCCCACGATACTCAAAGCTACTTTCAGATCAGGAAACAAATTACGAAGTCAGCACAATCAGGACCCACTTCAAAGCCTTCGACTGTCCTGCGAACCTGTTTGCTCCCACGTACACATGAGAAAAAATCTCATGCAATAGAGCCGATATAACAAAATGAACACTACTTGCACTCGCCATCTAGCACATACTCTCTTTCGAGGCAACCTTCCATATTGTTTGATAATTTCCACATCATAGCTATCTTTGACGTCATGGGAAAGAACTGAAACAGTATGATATTACCTCACGGACAATGTTTTTGCCATGCGAGATGGGCTGCATCCCGGTCAATAGCTCCAAGAATACGACACCAAGGCTATAAACGTCGCTCTTGTCCGTTAATTTATGAGTCAGGAAGTACTCCGGGTCGAGATAACCCTGCAAATTTGACATAGACAAGACACTCATATTCCCATCTGGTAAACCATGATCAAGCCAAATTCTAGAGAGGAGCTTGTACATTTGCATAGAAGAAAGAGAGCAACAGGGCAAGTAAAGAAGAAAGAGCAAGCAAATAAACTCTTTTGGAGATTGAATAGCTAAATTGTGATGCATCAGCAGTGAAATCGAAATTAGTAATATATGCCATACTGCGAACCAGAAGTAATTTCCCAACGTCCAAGTCAGTTAAATCTTTAGGATACCGTCAGCATTGAAAAAAGAATGCCATTCTTCACTTGGGCTGAGATATATTGATACTCAGTAACAAGAAATTCAGTATATTGACTGCATTTTCTTCTGTAATCTGACCATTCCTTGTCACATATTCATTAGCTGTGTATAAGTTCCAAACCCAATACCCTCACCACAATAATTTGTCTTTGATCTCTGACGTCTCAGTGACATATAGTAAATACATGTAAGCAGGTGTTGACCTCTTCTACTATTCTCGGGCATAGCTGATTCAAGTTGTTAAGGAGTTCTAGAATATCCCGCATCGCTTATGTATTGGGGTTTACGATGGCGTTATACACGTCTCCCGCCACCTTATAGCGGGCCAATTTGTTTACAATTTAGTAAAAGCAAAAGAATACTTCTTTGCTTTCTCGCCAAAATAATTTGGAAATATTATATATGAATCTACGTGTCAACATTTATATTTATATATTGTGAATGTTTTGGCTGTTTTGGGTTAAAAAAAATTCAAAATACGTATGTCGCTAAATTTAGGTTAAACAAAAAGGATAAAGTAAGAATCTATTCAAACACACACTTAAAGCTTTTGGGTTAGACTTGCTGACACTTTCTAATGGATGATCGTTAGTGTAATCGAGTCGAACCATTTCAAGAATACAGTACCTGAAGTTTAGATACAACAATTGATTGAAAGTAACTCTTGACAAAATGAGCAAATGGCCCTCCAATTTCTCTTGAATATATTCCTCAAATAAGTCCTACTACTCTTTGCTAACTGACAAGTTAACTACAACGAGGAAGTGAACTTTTCTCACAGAGAAACTCAGACGACTTGCACCAAAAACTGTTATATGGCAATAAGCAGATATTCTTGGCAAATCAGACTTATAAGGTAGCTCTAAAGGCAGATGTAGAATTGAGACCGACGACCATTTATGTAACAAACACCAGAAAAACTTGCACAAATCAGAGAACATACATAAACCAAATCAAGCAAAGCTTGGCAAATTGCTAATATAGGAGAAATAGGTCTTACAGGAGTCCCCTTGACCACCGTCGACACATGACCTGGTACAACGCCTTCAATATCCGGAACAGGGGCAAGTCTCGATAGTCCAAAATCAGCAACTTTAGCAGTAAACTTTGAATCCAACAATATGTTACTGGCCTTGATATCGCGGTGGAAAATTGGAGGATCTGCTTCTGAGTGCAGGTATAGGATGCCCTTGGCCGAACCAATGGCAACTCTCAGTCTCATCCCAAAAGAAAGAGGGTCTTTTGATCGACCTGAAATATAACAAGCAATGACTATTTAAAATTGGTAACTTCAGAGAACTGGTAACCAATTTTGAATTCTTCTATCAGAATATTCTAAGCATCAGATACAAAAGAGATAAAAAACAATTTCACAAAGTATTTTGCTATATATAAGGTTTCGACTTTCATCCATCCGTGGACTCCAGGGGAAAAAACGAAAGATAAGAAGAAGAACATTGACAAGCTGAATAAAATTGAAGACCATCTAAGAAGGCAACAAGAAAGTACCAGAAATATGATCTCGTAGAGTTCCGTTGGGCATGAATTCATATATCAACATCTGCATAACAGATATACAATAAATAAACTGATACTATCAAGTTCAACCTTTTGATAATCCTGAATTTCGAAACAGAGAGAATCGAGAAGATATCTCAATGAAGCCACGAGGGTAAAGGCAAGAAAGAGGACGGAGTTCATGTCCAAAATTCCACTTGCTATTGTTTTCGCAGACTTCGACTCATACTTGTAAAGCTGTAAAATATTTTTCGCGCCCTACTCTAAAACTTTTGGTGTAAATGGCGGCCTACATAAATTAATCTTAGCACCAGAGCTAGAGATCTCGAGTTCTATTGCTAACACCCTTCTTTCACCCATTTATGGGCTCCCTTTTATATGTGTTGGATTTTCGCAATTGCCATAGGCTTTTCATACGGCATTTGCGCTCTTCAGGCTTTCTCATCATTTTAGCATTCGTGTGAGGAAGAGTGTTAAGCTATAGAACATATTCCGCTCCGTATAACATTATCATAACATTATCATCCGACGCCCAAATAGGAGTCTTACTACCGATCACAAGTTGCTTTCGCTAAGTTCATTTGTAAATGGAGTATTGTTTTTCTCCTTTTTATAAGTTTAAAGTGGAGTATGATCTATATCTTTCCTTAGCATAAATAAAAGAAAAGCAAAAAGTTCTGTTATTTTATGTTTTATTCTCAGCCAATGAAGAGCAAAACTATCTTTTATTTTTTCCTAAATCCTTTTCTGACAATGCTGTTGGTTGCATTGTCATAGCAATGGAAATAGATCCACTTCCTATTTTGGTATTTTAAAGTCCCAGGTCCACAATTGACAACTTATTCAACCCAATCTCTTGAATGCATTCAAGTGATGTGAATGAATACATTGCACAATATCTAGATAGACTTAATCATTTCAATTACATGCAGAGATGCTGAGAACTTCCCTGGTGAGCAGTTAGATCATAAGAACAAAACAGGCTATCTCTCCTATGTGCACCTTATAATTAAATGACTAGGAAATGCTTGACAGATCTAACTAGCAAGCCATAT